CACCATCCAGCAGACATTCATCTACTGCGCGCTGTCCTCGGGTCCATGCCAAGGCAAAGTCCCTGGCTGAGGTGCTGACCTTGAGGGAGGGAGGTGAAGGCTCAGAGTCAGTTAGGGAAGCAAGCAGATCAGTGGTTACTGGAAGACAAAGGAGGGTGGTTCACAAGTATTCCCACGTCAGAACTTATCAAACAGCACGCTTCATTCCAGAAGCCCCACAGCCAACTGTACCCTGGTCCTGCTGGCTGGGACTGGATCACTGGCCCAGGTCCGTGTGCAAAGACAATGGGGAAGTGAGTACTGGCTCTGTTCAGACTCCACTGCGGGAGGGAACCACAAGTGACCTTCAGGAGGCAGCCTGCCACAGGTTCACAGCAGTCTGGTAAGGCCCAGATCTAAGCCGCTGGCCCTAGAGACTGGGCTCTGTGCACCAGGCCCCAGCCCCACCTAACACTGCTGAAGCTGAGTGCAGCCAGCAGCCGCTGCTGCTGCAGCCATACACGCCAGCAGACAGCTTACGCCCTCCACAACCACCCTTCAGGGTGTGTCTGCAGCCTGCAGATCGCCCTCACTAGAAGCTGTCCTAATCTCTATGGCCCGCTAACTAAAAACAGTTGCCGTCGAGTTGACTGACTTATGGTGACTGCATGTGTGTCAGAGTAGAACTGTGCTCCATAGGGTTTTCAATGGCTGATCTTTTGAAAGCAGATCGCCAGGCCTTTCTTATGAGGTTCCCCTGGGTGGATGAGAACCTCTAATCTTTTGGTTAGCAGCTAATACAATGGCTGGGATAGAAAAAGTGCTCTGGCTTTTCTGAGCAGCCAGGACTCTGTATTCTTGGCCTCTCCTTGTGCCACTGCAGCTCTAAAAACCCCTAGAGACAGATGGAGCACACGATAAAGCCACCGTCGCTGGGCACAGAACAGAGGAAAACGTATGCACACCTGTAAAAACGCCTATGACACTTCACTCACTCAGAACTCAGAGTAAACAAACACCTTGTAAATAAGAAGTTGGCGAATCAAAGCTTAAACACTTTGTTCGTAAGAGACTTCCAGGCCTGTGCATTGTTTCTCTATTCAGTCTAACAATCAGCTCCCAGGCCCACAGGAGAGATTACAGAAAGGGCAGCTTTAGGCAGGCAAACGGACCGCAGTAAGCAGGGTTGACAGCTGACACTGGGAAATGACAGGCAGAAAAACTAAAAAAAGGTGAAAGATAAAACTCCAAACGGGAAACAGGTCTATATGCCTCAACAAGCCTGAAGAACGTCACTGTTTACATCACCACATAACAAGTCACATTTGAAATGTTTACTCAAGACCATCAAGGAAAGTTTATATCACATTCAGCATATTCTATTTAAGAAAGCAAGGGAATAATTTATTCTATAAAAATCCCCATCTTGAAAGGAATATGCTGATGCTTAAATGGGCAAAAGCGGAAGCTATCCAGAAAACACTGCCATTCAGTGGCTTTCCTGCTGTGTGGTGGGCCATGCATTTATTGTAAATGGCTCTATTTACAACTCACATGAAGCCATGGTGTATGCTGACAGGTATGTTGAAGGATATAATTTGGTCCGCGTTATATTAAGTGTTCTATAATAAACCACCTAACTGTGAGTGTGATACCATGATTAATGGAGAAAAGACTGAAGTTGTCAAGGATTTCATTTTACTTGGATCCACAATCAACACCCATGGAAGCAGCAGGCAAATCAAACGACATACTGCATTGGGCAAATCTGCTGCAAAAGACTTCTTTAAAGTGTTAAAGAGCAAAGATGTCACTTTAAGGACTAACATGTGCCTGACTCAAGCCACGGTGTTTTCAGTTGCCTCATATGCATGTGAAAGCTAGACAATGAATAAGAAGACCGAAGAATTGATGTCTTTGAATTATGGTGTTAGTGAAAATAGTGACTATACCATGAGCTGCCAGATTGAACAACTCTATCTTGGAAGCAGTACAGCCAGGATGCTCATCGGAAGTAAAGATGGTAAGACTTCGTCTCCCATACTTTGGACATGTTATCAGGAGGGACCAGTCCCTGTAGAAGGACATCATGCTTGGCAGAGGGTCAGCAGAAAAGTGGAAGATGCTCAACGAGATGGACTGACACAGTAGCTGCAACAATGGGCTCAAACACAGCAACGATTGTGAGGACAGCACAGGACCGGGCAGTGTTTCATTCTGTTGTACACAGGGTCGCTATGAGTTGGAACTGAGCCAAGAGCACCTAACAACAACAGAGCTAACCTAAATATGCTTCTCTTTACTGAGTAAAATTTGTTTTCAAGAAAGGGAGGCTAAGGGAATGACCTGTTGTGCCAGCAATGGCCCTGATTTACTGCACGACTGAAGACAAATCATTTAACCTCTTTGTACATCAATGATTTCCCTATCTGTAAAAATAAGATAATGGTTTACCTCTCAAGTTTGGTGGATTTTAAACAACTACCATAAAGTCCTTTAGAAATGCCTTATTGTATTTGTGTAAATAGTTTAAACTTTAAGTAACGTGCTTTAAATCTCTGACGATTTTTCCAGCAGAACACCTTACAGAGAAACAGATGTCTAAAACCAAATTAAAATAACAGTGGTTTTATACTTCTTATAAGGCTCTGTAAAAATAACTGACAGCATTAGAGTGGCCTCATTTTCAGAGTAATGAGAGAAGGGGTCCAGTGAACTCCTCTGAGGGTTTCCAGTCTCTAACCCTAGTTTCCATGGAGACGAGAGTTCCTTGTATGATCTCACTTAGGCCGACTTTCCTCCCACCATCGTCTTTTCTTGAAGGAGGTGGCACACAGCAGTGAAGTAAATCTAACAGCCTATATTAACCTTCCAACAAAGGAGTCACAGAGGTTCTCCCAATATGCGGAGTCAGGAATCTGGTGCCTCCCTCCCTGACCCCAGAGCAGAGTGAAAGGTAGGCAGGCCTTGGTCAGCTCCACATACTCATATTTTCTCTCCTAGTCTTCAAGAGCCCACACACACAGAGGAGGAAGGGGTCAGAGGTGTGTGTGTTGGGTGGGGGAAGCATCTTGAAGAACACCACAAACCCCAAGATGGCAGGACGCAAGTGACCGGTTTGGAGGGATCCAAGATGTGTAGCCCTGGAACTTACACAATGTGGGCTCCCTCTTTTTAAAAAGGTCTTTTCCAGGGCCTTGGAAGGGCCCATGCAAGTTAGGGCCCTGGAGCTTGAACTTTGTTAGCTTTGAGGTAAATCTGCTCCCACAAGTGGCACACGGGCTCAGGTTCAGGCAGCAGTGCTCTCTGAGTGCCACCTACTGCAGCCGCCTCTGCGTCTGGAGGAGAAAACAGTGGGCCAGAGGCCAGCAGACACCTCAATGTGTTCAGAAGATGAGGTGGTTATAAATTAACTGAGGAAACTGAGGCAGGATGATCAGGAAAGTCCATCTGTCAGAGATGAACGGTGAGGGCCTGGCCCGGCTATGGTGCTCTCAGTGCTTGTCAAGAACACACCAGGAAGGAAAGCAGATTAGGAACTGGAGACACCTGCCATGCAGGGTTGAGATGGGCGCTGAGGACACACCAAGAGTAAAGGCTGAGTGGGGCGGGTCGTAGCAGCAGGGTCAGTGACGGGGAGGGGAGCATGGCCCAAGAGAGTGACACAGAGCGGTCGGAACAGAAGTAGGGGAGTCACACACAGCACAAGTTGGGGCGGCGGAATGCAGGGCGGATGATGGTCAGGAACCTGAACACGCAGGGAGGTGAAGGGTGAGGAGGCGGGCGCTCCACGCTCACCCCCTTCTGTGTGTCTCACTCTCTGAACCATCTACTCCAGTGCTCACGCCACAGCGCTGGGCATCACAGGACTCCACCAACTCACGTCCTCATGTCCCACTGAACCCTCCTCGCCATCCCTATGCCCAGGTTTCCAGCTCTGAAACTTCTCCTGCCTGGACTACCCCAAGCACCTTCCTACATCCTCTGTGGTGTCACTCCACACCAACGTCACCCCACACTTACCAGGCCCTTTTATTACACTAAAATTGGATCCCGGGACCTCCCTGCTCCAAGTTCTCTTTAGATTCCTGCAATTCCCTGTCCCTGACCAACATCTTGTCCCAGTGACGCCTCGCAGCTCCTAGCTCCCAGTTATGCCGACTGCCTCCAGCCCTCCTGACTGAAACACTCTGCTCCTCTGCCAGAACTGGCCTCTTGACGCTCTTACCCCCAACTCCCACCTATTCAAAACTCAGCCCATGCTCCACCTCTGGGGACACCTGGCTCGCCCGGCCAACCACTCTGCCCCCTGGGACGTGGCTTTGTCTCTTTAGTGCCATCTGCCTGCCTGTAGGCTGCTCACTAGGGAGGACCCATAACTTGCTAGGTGCTGGGACCAATTCGGGGACAGCCCAAAGAAAACAAGACACACAGACGTTCTAAGGTGTACTTGCAGAGGCCAGAGGGACTGCTCTGGGGACGATCACAAAAGTCATGTGTCTTGGCAGGTGTAAATGACCACGGGTCTGACACTAAAGGACACACACGGGCCAGAAACGCACCTCTTAGGGACCGGTGGGTGCCACTGACACTAGACCAGTGTCTACGGCAGTACGAGAGTCAGAAGAGACACTGGGCAGGAAGTGATGGCGGTGCTGAGGGTTGGGACAGACATGTGACGTCACAGCTGAAACAGGCAGGGATGGGGGGCAGGGTGGAAATTACGCGATGTCACAGCTGGGGTCAGGAAAGAGATATGACGTCACAGCTGGGATCAGCTCGAGCTGATGTGACATCACAGCAGACAGGAGTCAGGAGGAAGATACAGCATCACAGCTGAGGGGAGAGGCAGAAACGACGTGGCGATGGAACCTCGTCTAGGGGTGAGCGGGGATGGCGCAGCCCGGAGAGCCAGGACCACGCCAGGTGAGCGGCTCCCACCACGGGTGACGTGACGGCCATATGCGATGGGGAGGGCAGCGCGGAGGCAATGACAGGAGGGTGTGCTCGGCCGGCCCTACCTAGAGACGTAGCCGCAGCCGGGACCTGCTCACCTCCACCGCCGTCGCCGCTATCGCCGCCACCGCTACCGCGGGTGTTGCCCCGCGCGCTTCCGCTTCCGCTTCCGCTCGGGCCGCCGCGATGTGCGCAGGCGCGGGAGAGACCGGATGCGCGGGAAGACGGGCGTGCGCAGGCGCGGGAGGGCCCGAGAGGGCAGGAGGCCTGACGTGCGCATGCGCGCCGGTCCCGGTACCCCAGCAACTTCTCGGTGCCCCGCGGCACAAATTTGGGGTGAATGAATGTGATACTACGGTTTTGCCAAAGAATTGCTCGTGACCACCCGCAGGCTGGCTCATGAATAGAAAACTTGTTCTAACTGGAAGTGGACGGGCTCTGGCTGGACGAAAGGTTTCAGATCAGCTGAACGAGCTGCCGCATCTTTCCCTGTGAAGGTTGGGGAGGGGTGGTGGGAATAAAAACGGAGAAGTGGAATGCTGGGACGTGGGCTTCGTGGTGGTGAAAAGCCATGCCAGCCGGGGGACCGCTGTCCCCTCAGCCGCTTTATCTGTAAAGTTCCGATATAATGGCACGGCCCTCACTGAGGTTTTGTGAAAAACGTGAGAGGGCCGACAGAAGACAGCAGAGTGGCGGGCCCGTGTAAAGAAACAAAGTTGACATTAGGTCGATGCCGACTCATACCGACCTCCGGTAACAGTGGAACTGCCATGGGGTTTCCTGGCTGTAATTAAGTGGACCAGGTCTCTTCTCCTCGCATGCAGCGGCTGGTGGGTTCCAACTACTAACCTTTTTATTAGCAGCCAAATGACCAACCTGCGCCACCAGCGCACCTGGTAGTCGGCCCACAAAAAAACAAAAACCAAACCCGTTGCCGTCGAGTCGATTCCGACTCATAGCGACCCTATAGGACAGAGTAGAACTGCCCCATAGAGTTTCCAAGGAGCGCCTGGTGGATTCCAACTGCGCCGCCAGGGTTTCCGGTTGGTCCATAGAAAGCACTAGATAAATGTTGTTATTAGGTGCCCTCAAGCCGTTCAGACTCATAGCGACCCTGTGTACAACAGAATGAACTGCTAACTGGTCCTGCGCCATCCTCACAATTGTTGTTATGCTGGAGCCCATTGTTGCAGCTACTGTGTCAATCCACCTCCTTGAGGGTCTTCTTCTTTTTGTTTTTCGCTGACCCTCTACTTTACCAAGCATGATGTCCTTCTCCAGGGACTGGTCCTTCCTGATAACTTGTCCAAAGGACATGAGACAAAGTCTCACCATTCTCACTTCTAAGGAACATTCTGGCTGTACTTCTTCCAAGACAGATTTGTTGGTTCTTCTGACAGTCCATGGTATACTCAATATTCTTCCCCAACACCATAACTCAAAGGCATCAATTCTTCTTCAGTCTTCCTTACTCATTGTCCAGCTTTTGCATGCATATGCGGCAATTGAAAATATCATGACTTGGATCAGGTACACCTTCATCCTCAAGGTGACATCTTTGCTTTGTAATGCTTTAAAGAGGACTTTTGCAGTAGATTTGCTCAATGCAATATGTCATTTGATTCCTTGACTGCTGCTTCCGTGGGTGTTGATTGTGGATCCAAGTAAAATGAAATCCTTGACAGCTTCAATCTTTTCTCCATTTCTCATGATGTTGCTTATTGGTCCAGTTATGAGCATTTTTGTTTTCTTTATGTCGAGGTGTAATCCATACTGAAGGCTGTAGTGTTTGATCTTCATCACTAAGTGCTTCAAGTCTTCTTCACTTTCAGCAAGCAAGGTTGTGTATCTGCATATTGCAGTTTGCTAATGAGTCTTCCTCCAATCCTGATGCCCCATTCTTCTTCATATAGTCCAGCTTCTCAGATTATTTGCTCAGCATACAGATTGAATAAGTATGGTGAAAGGATACAACCCTGAAGAACACCTTTCCTGATTTTAAACCACACAGTATCCCCTTGTTCTGTTTGAACAATTGCCTCTTTGTCTACCTGTTGGTTTCTCATGAGCACAGTTAAGTGTTCTGGAATTCCCATTCTCCGCAATGTTAGCCATAATTTGTTATGATCCACACAGACAAATGCCTTTGCATAGTCAATAAAACACAGGCAAACATCTTTCTGATATTCTCTGATTTCAGCGGAGATCCATTTGACATCAGCAGTGATATCCCTCGTTCCATATCCTTTTCTGAATCTGGCTTGGATTTTGGGCAGTTCCCTGTCAATGTACTGCTGCAACTAGGAAGAAGGACCTGGTGATCTACGTCTAAAAAAAACTGGCCAGTGAAAACCTCAGGGCTTAAGGGGAAAAAAATCTCCCAAGCTGTCCTTTCAGAGAGCCAAGGCAAAAGGCCACCTAAAGGAACTCAGTGCAGCGCGTGCTCCTCTTGCTGACTGAGTGCCATGGGTTATGTCGAGAAGTATGTGAAGTAGTTTTTAGTTTCAAGGAGCTCCCAATGTGGTTGGGGAGACAAAATAACATGTGTTACTTATTAGGAACGATGTGAAAACTGGAGTATGGTTTATGATGTGCTGGATGAAGAAGGCTGCAAGTAGACAATATGTGAACTGAGGCTGGAGGAGGGGAAGGATGGGAGCCCGGATGGCGAGAGGAAGGCCTCACAGGCAGAAGAAACACACCTAGGAGAGAGGTGGAGGTAGACATTGAGAGGTGTGAGGGAAGAACAGATGCTTAGGAGCAGGACAACTGAGATGTGGGACCAGATGGTGGGGGGCCAGGTGAGGTCATGGAGATGACAGGTGATAAGGCATGTTCTCAAGCAGGAAGAGTGAAGCCTGATGAAACTTGTGCTAGGAGCTGACCTGGTGGGGATGCACAAGGGACGGGAACCAGTTGAGCTTGGATCCAAGGGGGTCATTGAGAGGGACATTGGGGTGATGTGGACATGTGGTGAGGAAGACCTTGCAAGAATGGACGTGGTGACAAGTCAGGTAAAGACAGAAGCATAGCAGCTGGCACTGATTGAGAACATACTACCTGCCGGGCACTGGGCTACAGTCTTCATATAGAGATTTCATCTATGAATCTGTGTCTCTGCTTTGAGAGGTAAGGGAACTAAGAGTTACAGAGAGTAAGAGACCGCTTGAATGCAAAATTTTACCTCTGCTTCCTCCCCCAAAACAAGTCACACGACAACAAGGGAATTAAACCAGCATAAACCCACAAGGTCAACAAGGCAATGAGGAAAGACGACAGCACATGAAAGAAAACGACGCTTTGGACTCGGAAGACGGGGTGAGCAGGAACCAGGTTAACCAAGTGGAAGGAGCTGAGGCCTAATCCTGATGTGTGGGGAACTCACAAGACACTGCCCGTTCTGTAGCAGAATTCTGGACAATTTTAGGAATTACAGGCAGCAGGCCCTCCTGAATGCACAGGTTTTGTGGGGGGACAGCTGTTGCTCTTAGATGCTGTCAAGACAGCCACAATTCATGACGACCCTACGCACAACAGGACGAGACACTGCCCAGTCCTGTGCCATCCCTGTGACTGGTTGGGGATCGGACAGACTGTGGTGAGCCATAGGGTTTCCACTGGCTGATTTTTGGAGGTAGATCGCCAGGCCTTTCTTCCTAGTCCGTCTTAGTCTGGAAGCTCTGCTGAAACCTGTTCAGCATCATAGCAACACACAAGCCTCCACTGACATACGGGTGGTGGCTGTGCATAAGGTACATTGGACAGGAATCCAGCCTAGGTTTCTCGCATGGCAGGTAAGAGGTCTGCCACTGAACCACTACTGCCCCCACAGGGGTGAGGAGGAACACTGTTAGGGTGGGGACAGCCGAAATACGAGACTGACTGAGAACCTTTAAAAAACCAATTTCTCTGAAGACGTTGAACTGGACAGGCTGCGGCCATGGTAAGACCTAGCATGTCGAGGAGTGAAACAACGCTCCAGGAACAGGGAAGTAAGGGTGAATTCATGCAACGACAGGGACCGTCCATCCCCCTTTCTCTCAATTCCAGCACATTGACTCTAAGGCCTTTCCCCAGCAGGAGACGGGAGGCTTCCTGTCTGATGCATTTGACTAGTCTGAGAGAAGAGCCCACCAAACGCTAACACTCAGGGAGTTCCCCTTCCCCGAGAAGAGGACTTGCAGGGACTCCCATCAGTTGATACCCCTGTATGCCTCCACAGAACTTCCAATAAGCATTGTTGCCTCACTCCTAAATATACTCAGATAACAAAAGACCAACAAACATTTAAGGAAGACAGGCAGGAAAAAATAAACCAAGGTACTAAGAAGAAAGAAAAAGATGCAAGGAAGAGAAAAAAATGTTATAAAAATTTTATTATGTGCAGTCTTTCAAGATAACATTACATCCACGAATGAAGAAGAGAAAGATATATAAAAGAACATTCAGAGAATAAGAAAGAGCTCTTGAACATAAAAAAAGCAATAACTAAAAATTTAAAAGCTAATAAAAAAGGTAGAAGATAAACTTGATATATCTCAGATGGTGGAACAAAAAGAAAAAAATGGATGAAAGCAAGAACATTAGAAGATGAAAAGTTCTAGTATCCGACTTAACAGGAATTACAAAAAGGAGAACTTAAAAAACAGGAGGAAATTATTCAAGAAATAATACTAGAAAAATTCCCAGATCCAAAAGATATGTTTCCATATTTAAAGCACCCACCAAGTGCCCAACGCAATAAATCTAAAAACATCCACACCGAGGCACATCATCATGAAATCTCACTGGAGATAAAGAGAAGCTCTTAAAGTTGCCAGAAAGGGGGGAAAATAAAGTCATATTTAAGAGATAAAAAATCAGAAAGGCAAAGAAAGTCTCAATAGCACCTCAGGAAGCTTGAATATAATGGAGCATTAACTTCAAAATTCTGAGTCATTTCAACATGGAATTCAATCTTCAAACAAAATGTCAGTTAACTTTGAGGGTAGAATAAAAATATTTTCTGATATGCAGAATCTCAAAAAGATTACCTACTTGTCTTAGTTATCTAGTGCTGCCATGATGGAAACATCACAACTGGATGGCTTTAACAAACAGAAATTCATTCTCTCACAACCTAGGAGGCTAGAAGTCCGAATTCAGGGTGCCAGCTCCAGGGAAAGGCTTCCTCTTTCTGTCAGCTCTGGGGAAAGTTCCTTGTCATCAATCTTCCACATCAAGGAGCACCTAAGCATAGAGACTCCGGGTCAAAAAGAGGTGCTATTCTCCTGGCTCTAGTTTCTTGGTGGTATGAGGTCCCTGTGACTCTCTGCCTGCTTCTCTGTTTTATATCTCAAAAGGGACTGGCTTAAGACACAACCTAGTCTTGTAGGTTGAGTCCTGCCTCATTAACATAACTGCCGCTAATCCCACTTCATCAAATCAACATTGTAGAGGTAGGATTTACAACATGTAGGATAATCACATCAGATGACAGAATGGTGGACAGTCACACAACACTGGGAATCATGGACTAGCCAAGTTGACACACATTTTTGGGGGACATAATTCAATCCACAAGATCTACCAAACACCTTATCCCAGAAGGCCACTGAAAGGTATCTTTTCCAAGATCAGGAAGTAAGTCATAAAAGAGGAATATATAGACCCTCGAAAGCAGGGACTCCAACCGAGGAGAGAGGAGCAGGGAAGTCCCAGGACAAAAGAAGAAACCCAGCCAGACATATCCTCCAGGAGAAATACCTCCAAGAAAAAAGTGAAACGAGAACACTTGGTGTGTATGAATATTTTAAGAGGAGGTCTTTACAGTTTGGTGATGATTAGTAATAGGTATGTAGTAAAATAGACAAGCAAATAAATCAGGCATTATTGAACCTGGTAAAGACAAAAAATTAATCAAAAGAATTCTACACTGATTTTTGAAAAATGGGACCTTACGTGTATTTAACCACCACTTGTCTGTCAGTTTGTCTGGCAAACTCTGAACCTTGCTCTTGATGTAAAGTAGCTAAAGCAAATGGAAGAAATGAAGTAAAAGCACTGAACAGAAGATTTCAAAGGGGGCTCAAGAGACAAAGTAAAGTATTACAACGAAATGTGCAAAGAC